CAGAGAGAGAGAGAGAGAGAGAGAGAGAGAGAGAGAGAGAGAGAGAGAGAGAGAGAAAACGAGGCTCGGTGAAAATAGGACAAAAGCAAGGAAAATCTGTCGGGGCTCGGAGCGATGAGGGCTCCTCGGCTCCGCTGCCTCGAGTTAAGCCGATGTGAATAGCGCGCAACTAGAAAGGGTGTAGTGTACACACGCGGCCGCCGGAAAGCGTCTGTGTAACGCGGTTATGGAGGCAGATAGGCGCGCCGCTCGCGTATTATACGTGAATAAAACGCTCGGCTTCCCCTCCGCCCCGTGCGAAGGGAGATACGTGTATGAGCGAGCCTCTCGTAGTGTGCAGCAGCCTAGTTGATTTGTTCCTGGATTATAGCCCCCGTGTCGTCGACGTAGTCGCTCGTCCGCCGCTACGAGAAAGTCGCAGCTGCGTTTCTCTTTTGCGGCTGCTCTCCTTTCCACCTCCCCCCTCGCCAATACACACCCCCCTCCCGACAACAACCTTATGCCTCTCTGCGTTCGGTGTATGTCGGTAGCGCGCAATTCCGAGGTCGTTCGAAGCGTAGCGGAAGCCGGGCCCGAGATCTACGTCGACGTCGACTTCGACGGCTATTCGCATCCGGATCTTGGTAATTGCGCGGTCCAGTGATAGGTTATCATGACCGAGGAATGGCGCGCGTTCCTCGGTGGAGACTGGCGACTGCGTTCTCGAAGATCGAGCCACCCCCCTCCCCCAGTCTACCCTACCCCAAAGCCCCAGTCACAACTATCGAGAGTCCGAGAGCGCACGCGGACGAGAGAAAGAGAGGAAAAAGCGGAACGTCGAGGCGATTGATGCCCCGGGCACGATAATAAAGATAATAATAAGAATAACGACAAGGCCAACAATAACAAGGACGGGTCGTAGTCGCAGTCGAAGCCGTCGTCGTGTGCTTTTAGAGGAGGGCACGGATTCATGCGATCGCACCCTTGGCCACATTGTCCGGGGATTACAGGGGTGTGCTTGCGGCGCGCACGCACACACTCACGCACAGCGAGGGGCTCTCTTTTGCTTTTTTTCTGTCCATTGCTCCCATTGCGCGCTCATCATCGTTCGGGCTGTTTGTTGTCGCTGTGCGCTGCATTTTCCGCCCCCTGCTCATCTTTCATCGAGCATCTCTTTGCCTCGCGCCACTACCCACGCCGCTCGCCTGTCTCCACTGTCCGTCGAAACGTGTTCTCTAACCCGACAATTGGTCCGCTCGCTTTTGCAGGTGTGGTTCAAGAACCGACGCGCCAAGCTTCGCCAGCAGGCCCAACAGCACCATCAACAGGCCCAGCAACAGGCCCAACAGCAACAGCAACAGCAACAGCAACAGCAACAGCAACAGCAACAACAACAACAACAACAACAACAACAACAACAACAACAACAACAACAACAACAACAACAACAACAACAACAACAACAACAACAACAACAACAACAACAACAACAACAACAACAACAACAACAACAACAACAACAACAACAACAACAACAACAACAACAACAACAACAACAACAACAACAACAACAACAACAACAACAACAACAACAACAGAACTCTGGGGAGCAAAAAACCGCTACCCGGACGCAGTCTAATCAGAATCAAAACTCCACCGCTGGCACCGGTGGCAACAAATTATCTAACGGGCCCACAGCCAACAATGGCAGTCTCGCGACGGTCAATCGGCGAACCTCGCCGTGCTCGCCACCTCGTGGCAAGGAGGCGCCCGGGCCCCACTCGCCTCTCGTAACGACCACGACGACGACGAGCGCCGCGGTGACGAGTGGCGTTGGTGGTAGCGGTGGCGGTCCCCCGGGTCTCGCCAATCCCGCGACATATCCGCGCCTCGGCGCCACTCCCGGGGCCGCGAGCAATGCCAGCAGCGCTCTCACCACACCCTCGCCGCCCCTCACCCCGGGTTCGAACAATCACCTGCCGTCCGCGGTCGCTTCCTCCGGCTACGCCAATCAGCTTCACCAGCACCATCCGGCCCAGGTCGATTATGGTCACTTTGCGTGGACGCCCTCAGCTAGTCCGAGCGCCGCCGTTAATAGCCAATGTTACCCGAGCCAGGCTTACAACGCCTACCAGAACCCCTACACCTCGGGTGATTACTATCAGAGCCAAATATCGCACGTTCACTCCCAGGCGGCTGCCAACTACCATCACGGCCAGTACCATCACCATCACCACCATCACAACATGAGCCTCGCCTCGAGCGTCTCGCATCATCATTTGAGCGCGGGAGGCCCGGGCCTCGTCGACGAGACCCTCGATTACGTGCTACCCGAGCACAAGTACCAAGCGATGGTCTAGCGTCAGTCAAGCTGGTCGGTGCGTCTTCAAGACGGAGTTAGGCGCGCTGGAGCCGCGACTCACCCAGCGTGAGACGATGGCACCCACGCACCCACGCTCGAACGCACATTAGCACAGCGCTCCCCTCCCCGCTCATGCACAGACGGACGGACAGATACGGGCTCAAGTATAGTGTGAGTATGAGAGAGATAGGTGGATAAATAGATAGATAGATGGGTAGATAGATTGATAGAGTGATACAGAGAGAGAGAGAGAGAGAGAGAGAGAGAGAGAGAGAGAGGGAGAGCCGAGAGAGCAGAGAGAGAGCAGAGAGAGCATACATATTTGATATAGAGCGACATAAAGGCGACATAACGAGAAAGGCGATTTCCGTAGGAATCTAAGCATAAGCTAAGTCATATCAACGCTAGCAGTGTGCACATAGATACACCTAGCCCAATGTCCTTCGTAATGATTAAGCGTTAATGTAAATAAGAGTATGTAACAATAAGGTGTAAATAATATTTCTCCTTTATTACTACTAAGTCTTTTACTTTACTTTTTCTTCTCTACTTGTAATTCCTCATCCTCTCCAAAAATCTTCATCTTCTTTTTGTATGATTAAATTGTCTTTCACTTACAGCTCGAACGTAATGAATTATATATAGTTACATAGCTCTGTAAAATACTGGAGACGCTGTACGATTATTAAAAAAAAAGAAAAAAAATCTTCCTGCGCAAGAATAAAGTATCGTATATTATATTGTAATGATTGGCTGGTTTTACTCTTCACTCCCCCCCCCCCCCCCCCCCCCCCCCCCCCCCCACCCAACTCCTCCATGCCATTCCGGGCGGAAAAAAAGTAGCGAGCACGGAGAATGCTCCGTATATCTGTCCTCGTCGGTCTCTTGATGGGAGAGATGAATTCATCGAGGAGAAAACAGCGAAACGAGAAGCCGAGGGCGGCTCTATAATCGACTAAGCCACCAGTTCCCTGCGTTTTCATCAAATCACTATCATATAGCCGTGCACTATTAGGCCTTTAATTTTTAATGCCTCTGATGCTAGTTCGGCTCGAATATTGCGCAACTGAATATTTCAAATGCGGATTAAGCGATGGTCATTTCTTTATGCCACTAAATACGCCCGCGTTTAGTTATTCGATTAGTCCTATGATTTGCTGAAAGGTAAACTAATTGGCGGTGCTCAGTCATAGTAGGAGATTACAGTAGCTTGTTCCTAACACATATTTATCTAAGCCTTTTTACCTTTGGTATTTTGTGACGTTCCCTACTTTTTTTCTCTCTCTTTCTTTCCTTCTCTCCTTCTTTTTTCTTTTCTTTGCTTTTACAACGTTTTTTAACTGCATGATTGATCGTACCATAATTATATATATATATTGCCATTTATGATAGAGCATCGCGAGAAAAAGGAAATTAAAAAATTATTTTATCCTACTGTATTATGTTGGCAGAGACTTGATTTTAATAAGTCTGTTAATTTCAAATATCTGTTTATTTGTGAAATTTATTAACATTTTGAGAATAATAAATAGGAAGAAAATTCTACATATACGCTTCTATATATTCTTTTCTTTTTTTTTTTTTTCTTTTTACCAATTTCCCATTTTCTCCTTTTCTCCCTTTTGTGCTTAATAACTAGATCCTTAATATTATTATCAATATCAATTTCTACATTATTATGTGCGAAAATTTTACATATTTATTGTTTTATTTTTTTTTTTTATTTTTTTTTTTATTTTAGATATTTCATTGGAATGCGAATTACAAAGTTTTCTTGTATAAAAAAAAAAAAAAAAAAAAAAAAAAAAAAAAAAATAAATAAATAATAAATCTTATGAATGCCTCAACTTCTTGAGTAATGATATAATATTATTTCGCAACAAATTAATTTATGAAAAATGCTACGCTTTCGTTCTAATGATAAATAGATGCTTACTTACGCGCGCGCACAGAGTATCAAATAATTAATATCTCAAATATTTGAATGAAAAAAGTATTTTTAATAATATATAATAGTCGAGCATGAAAATTTGATTCTCTGCTATTTATATTGCATTATACATTAAGAGAGCAAATTTGTAAATAAAATCTCATTTATACAATTATGAATAATTATTTTTAATTTATTTGATATATTTCGCCTTTGTGCATACTTTATGTCGACAAAAGCTTAGTTAAAAATTGCGAAACTCGAAACAATGAGCTCGACTTATTGCATCGCTCGACTTATGCTTATCAACGATTATATCTTTATGGCGTATAATTGCTTTGCGCTTTCTTCCAGCAATTATTCTTCCGGCATTCATTTCACCTGATAATGAAACTTTACCATTAATTTCAATCGATCGGACATAATTTATTATAAAAGATTATGGCAAATGAATTTAAAGCCGTCCATACGATTGTATAGTACATTACAATTTGTAAAATGACTTATCGCCCAATAATTTTAACGACCAAAACTTTTAGTAAACAATGATTTTCAAAATTTTTAAATATTTTACAATGCAATATATAACATTACAACAGAAATTGTAGTTCAAAACGTAGAAACAACTGTACAATCATCATCATTGCTCGTTTCAAAATTGTCTCAATTATCACATGTTCAATTAAATATATTATATTTCTTTATCCATTCTATCTCAAATGCGTATTATAAATAGCGATTGTTTCTCAATAAAGAAAACAATGAATAATTAAATGCTATTTTCGTGTACGCGCGTTCTAGATCGTACGAATATTTCATGAAGTATCGTTCATGTACTTGCGAATGTTTGCTTGAATTATTAATATTCGCTCATAATCTGTTAGCGAAGGCTGTACTTAAAGGCTTTTAACTTCCATACTATACTGTACGTAGGCTTACGCGAATGTAAAAAAAATTCAGAAAGGTTTTTCTTATTTTCTTTAGGCTGAAAAATTATTCATAGATAGTTGGCATTCGTTTTGTAGTTTGATGAGAAAAAGTTTCTTTGAATATTCATGAGGAACGGATATTTAGCAAAATAATCCGTTATTCCTAAATGCATCGCACCAACTCGGTGTAATTAAAAACTCGTTAATATCGCTGCGGCATACGTTGCTACAGCAAATCACCAGACTTCCTTGCACTGCACTTCCTCCGAAGAGGCCATCTCAGATCACTGCAATTTCTTCGAATTAGCGTTTCAAGATTACTCTTGAACTATTTGGCAGATACCTTAGCTTTAGAAACGACTTTCTCAAAAATTGCCGAGTGTCAGGTACAGTAATAAATACAAATAAATATCTGAAAGTTTCAATCCGCGTATGGTACTAGAATTACATCTAGGGTCAACCAACGACAATCGTAATGCTTGGAATATCGTATATTACTGAAAGAAACGGACAATGAAGCGACAGGGATGAAGATAAAGGAATACAGCATAAGAGAGGGTAAAAGAGATGTATATATATATATATATATATATATATAAATATATAAAGAGAGGACACCCTTTAGAAAATAGGAAGAGATCCAGCCACTTGGAAGCTACACGTGTCGTCACTAAGGAACAACACTTGAAAGCCCGCAACGTAAACTTTTTCCAATCTATATACTAATTCAAGTCAATGGACATATCGTGTTTAATTTGTAAACTGTTTATATACTTGCTGACACCAATTTACAATCAATACAAAGCATAGTTATTATTATTCTTGAGTTTTCTATTTACTCGAACCATTCGAAATGCACATTTCAAGAACTGTTGGATCAAGTTTTATAAATTTTGGTATGATTATTACGTAAAAAAAAAAAAAAAAAAAAAAAAAAAAAAAAAAAAAACAAGACGTAAAAAAGCACCAACAACAACAAAATAAAAACCATACCAATCGGTAGGCTTATTAAGAATTACGCATAACCATAATTATAATGTATTTCTATAAAGTTGGATAGAACTTTGGTTGGCAATCAAGAAGAATGTGTCAATATCTATTAATATTAAAAGTTTACAACGTCTGAAAGCGCATTTTTATCAGACTTTAAAGTCCATTTTACGTCCAATCATTTGATATTACGTAGCTGGATTTGTGATTGAAAACTTTATGAAAATGTAATCAAACCAACTCTACTAGATCGGATAAAATGTGCGAGGTGCACAATTAAATTCCCGCTCGTGTCTTTACAGAGCGTGAAAATAATCTCTAAATATTCCTTCCGAATGAACCGAAGAAACTTACGAATGTATAGTAGACATATAAATATTCCGAAAACTGTTACTCATTCAACGTTGCACAAATGTCATCGGATACGTTTAACATGCGCTTAGTGTGATTTTAACGTACCGCATGGGAAAGATTCACATTTCTATGAGTAAATGATGGTCGCAATCAGATAAATACTTAGATCTCAATAACAGATAGAGGCTTGCATTTTCGTCGAGAGTATATTTTCTTGTTTGCTCGATTATAACCTTCGAGCGTATTAATCGAGACAAAGTCGATACGGATATATTTCATGGTTTTTATCAAGTTATTTTTATGCCTCTCGCTGTCGTTTGGAAAAGTTTATCTATGCTGAGATTTTCAAACTTCAAATTATTCCTATATCTTTCATTCAATGCATTACAATTACCGTTCATACTGATTATATTGATAAAGCACACTCAGTAGATAATCGATTGCAATAATAACGATCGTATGTCGTTGTTGAAAATCAAAAAAAAAAAAATTATATATATCTATATTAATGTGCCCGTCACATTTAGATAATAATTGATTTTAATACATTTCATAATCAAATATTTTCCCATTATATTAACGTTTAAGTCCGCTTTTATTCTCGATTACGATATCTGAAATAAATTAAAAAAAAAAAAAAAAAAAAAAAATTTGAGATACGATCAAACGCTTATTAATGAAGGAACATAATTTCCTATCTTTATAACGTTTGGCTTTATCGAGAAGTGGCATTCTTTATGGCGATATAATTGACAGTTATTTTTCTACTTGAAGCAAGTTCGGGTTCCAATACGTCCGCACCGTCGCTAAAGAAAACAAAAATTTTATCGGATTTTTCGGTTAAGTTCCTTTTGTTTATTGGTAGCGATAGCATTTTAGCAAGTCACCTTAATGCTAAAACTACGTCGGCTATACTTCTGACTGTCACTATTGCCACTCCGTGGGTCTGCCACATACATTTGTATGCGCGTGCGTGCGTGCGTTCGTGCGCGCGCGCGTATATGTTTGCCCCAGTGTGGTCATAATAGCCGGC